CAGTTTTTATAGGAGACATGTTTTCAGCAGTGCCATATATAGATACAATCACTTTTCACAATGTTCACAGAACAAGTTTTTTTTCAAAAAACAATTGTCTTCCTCAAACTATTAAAATGTTGCCTTTGGAAGAAATAGATTAAGTGTATTTATTTTTAAAAACTTCTACTGGGTCACATAAAAAGATTGGCAAATTTGGAATATTTTTCTTTGAAAAATGCATGAAATATTTGAAAAATGCATGGATCATTTTTAGGTTCTACAACTCTCACTCTGTCACCCAGGCTGGAGTGCAGTGGCGCTCTCTTGGCTCACCGCAACCTAAACCTCCTGGGTTCAAGCAATTCTTGTGCCTCAGCCTCCTGAGTAACTGGGATTACAGGCATATGCCACTCTGCCTGGCCAATTTTTTGTGTTTTTAGTAGAGACGGGGTTTCACCACATTGGCCAGGCTGGTCTTGATCTCCTGACCTCAGGTGATCTGTCCACCTTGGCCTCTCAAAGTGCTGGGATTACAGGCGTGGGTCACCTTGCCGGCCTGGTTCTACAACTTTTAAAAGCACTAACCCATTAGATAACCAGCATACTTTTACAGCTACTCTCTATCTTTGGCAGAATATTCAGTGTAATCTATGAATCCACTTAACTAAGCAAACATAAACAGTTAAATAGTCGTCTAAATAAAGGACTGAGACCACCACTTACAAGCCCTATGTGCAGTATTCCTCCCTTGAGATATCTGGCTCACTGTATCTGACACACAACTATTTACTTTATAGACAGAGTCAAGGCACAGATGTCAGTGTACAAGAAAAGTAGTAATAATGTTTAATTTTTTTAAGGAAAAAGATAACATGAAAGATGAATATTTTCTTCCTACACTTCATCGGATACCCTTGAAGTGTAAGCACCCTACTCTAGAGAACAACACGGAACATCGCTATAGCCTTTTAACTGATCCATGTGCCCCTGCACAGTTTTAGGTAATCATTCTAACATAACTTATAGGTATAACACTTTAAAACCCTCTGTGACTTTTACTGTCAAATTAATGCACCATCCGAGGCTACTGTGCGGTAGTACAGTTAGACGTCATGTATCATCTCCAATGAGAGAAAACTAGAGGAAGAGATTTTTACCTATTCTGTCACATGGAATCTAACATGATTTTAGAAAATGTAAAGGAATGAAGATTTCTGTTCTCTTTTCTCAGCTTTTACAAAGTCTGGCTCCAGAGTTGCTAGATTATTTCTGAGACACTTAAATGTATATAGACCTACATGTTTTGTATCCGTCAAAGGCTTTGTTAGAATTTAATTTAGAATGTTGTTTACAAAACCATAGGAATTTCAAAATGGAAATGTTCTGAAGAAAGTTTACAAGAGAAAGAAGAAGAAATCTATCTGGTTGGAGGGGCAAAAGCCAGTAATAGCAAGGAGGGGAAATGATTACATTGTCTTTCTTATAAACAACTTCATAGTTTCTTCCATTTTTATAAGATGAATAATGAGCACTGATGAATTAAATGGATTTGCTCTTTCCCCCTTATAGGAAAAGGCATTAATAGCTGCTCAGCTGGACAATGCCATTGAGAAGGAATTACTGGAGAGACTGAAACAGGATACGGTGAGAAAGCCATTAGCTTTGGGGTACTGAAATTTTAAGTGGTAGTATGTTGCTAAGACACATTGGGTTTTTTGTTTTGTTTTGTTTTGTTTTGTTTTGAGATGGAGTCTTGCTTTGTCACCCAGGTTAGAGTGCAGTGGCACAATCTCGGCTCACTTCAAACCTCTGTCTCCCGAGTTCAGTTCTCCTGCCTCAGCCTCCCGAGTAGCTGGGATTACAGGCACTGCCACCAAGCCCAGCTAATTTTTGTATTTTTAGTAGAGACGGGGTTTCACCATCTTGGCCAGGCTGGTCTTGAACTCCTGAGCCACCGAACCTGGCTGGGAAATGTTTTTTAACCTGATATGAAGATCTCCACTCGAATTTTATCCCTGGAATAAAATAAATCCATATCAGCCTGGCTTCCTTGTTTTAATTAATGCAAGCACATAAAATGCTTTGGTTACCCTTGATACTCCATTCACTGTAAGAGACCTTTCCCTTTTTGCCATTATTCTTAACTCCATTCACCAAGACAACAATTCCAGATTTCTGTATAAAAGCCATGGGGTTTTGTTTCTTTTACATATTACCCTAGTCTTTTAAGGCTCTTTGAGATAAGTTTTTATTCTCTTTTTAAAAATTAGTGTTGTTTATACAGACAACATGACTAAAGTACGCTTTGTCCTTATTATTTCCCCTTGTCAGCAAAATTACATTTGTCCTAATGCATGGGTTTGATAGACGATAACATTTTAAATGATTTTAAAATGTAACTCCATAGAAGTTACCTATTTAATACTAACTACAGATGATTTAAATGTTCAAAAGAACATGCTTTTTTAAGACACTGCTGGCTCTACACTTAAAAATATTACTCATCGAATTAAGTATTCTGATTTTATCACTGAGGAAAAAATAATATTCTCCACAGACAGTGGAACTTCAAGTGTAATATCCAAATGTAGTTAAAGCCAATCTGTGTTTATGTTCTTCAGTATGGCGACATCTACAACTTCCCCATTCATGCCTTCGACAAGGCCCTGGAACAACAGGAGTCAGAGAGTGACTCTTCAGATATTGAAGAAAAAGATGATGAAGATGATGATGAGGAAGTAAGTCTTGTTTTTGTTTTGCCAAACCTACTAGATACTATTTGTATATAACTGACAAACAGAATATCATCTTTAGTCCGCCAACCAAAAATGATATTCACGTGATTAATTTTGGTTTAGCACTGGTTGCTGTGTTCTTCAGGCTAACCAACAAACCATTAACAGTTTTAGTCTTAATTTATTGATCTTGTAAAATTGTTTCTGCAAGGTGACAAATTATGAAGCCTTTCCTGTCTGTATCTAGTTTTTAACCATAATGAGGATGTTTTATTGCTAATAATTTAAATCAAGAATAATAATGATCTGGTAGCCCTAAAATTTTCAAAATTCGGAAGCATTAAACTTAGAAGAACTAAATTTTGGTTGCCTAGTGAATAGACTGTGGTTCTGATTATGTTATTTTGTACTTACTTAGATGTCTTATCTGAATCTTCATTATACATTCTGAACCTAACAGTTATGTTTTATTTATAGGATGTGGGGAAAAGAGAATTTGTCGAAGATGATGAGGTAGATGAGAGTGACATAAGTGATTTTGAGGTGAGCTTTATGGGTAAAAAGATTGTCCTTTGGCCTGCAGCAAAAAAAAACAGGGAGGGGGCCAGGCACAGTGGTTCACTCCTATAATCCCAGTACTTTGGGAGGCCACAATGGGAGGACTGCTTGAGCTCAGGAGTTAAAGACCAGCCTGAGCAACATAGTGAGACCTCATCTCTAAGGATGCCATGGAGCGATCTGGGCTCACTGCAACCTCAGCCTCCCGGGTTCAAGCAATTCTCCTCCCTCAACCTCCCAAGTAGCTGGAATTACAGGCATGTGCCATTCCACCTGGCTAATTTTTTGTATTTTTAATAGAGACGGGGTTTCACCATGCTGGCCAGGCTGGTCTAGAACTCCAGACCTCAGGTAAGCTGCCTGCCTCAGTCTCCCAAAGTGCTAAGATTATAGGCATGAGCCACTGTGCCTGGCCTAAACATTTTTAAAAATCATTGGCCAGGTGCAGTGGCTCATGCCTGTAATCCTAGCACTTTGGGAGGCCGAGGTGGGCTGATCACCTCAAGGCAGGCGGATCATGTGAGGTCAGGAGTTCAAGACCAGCCTGGCCAACATGGCAAAACCCAGTGTCTACTAAAAATACAAAAATTAGCTAGGCATGGTGGCACATGCCTGTAATCCCAGCTAATTGGGAGGCTGAGGCAGAAGAATTGCTTGAACTTAGGAGGTGAAGGTTGCAGTGAGCTGAGATCGCGTCACTACACTCCAGCCTGGGCAACAGAGCGAGACTCTGTCTCAAAAAAAAAAAAAAAAAGAAAAAAAAAATTAAAATTCAGCTGGATGTGGTGGCGGTTGCCTGTAGTACCAGCTACTCAAGAAGCTGAAGTGGGAGGATTGCCTGACTACAGCAGTTTGAGGCTGCAGTAAGCCATGACTATGCCACTGCACTAATGCTTGGGCAAGAGAGCAAGACCCTATCTTAAAAAAAAATAAAAAAAAATAAAGAAACGGGACAATTACTGAACATAGACATAGACAAATCAATTCCCTAGTCTATTCTAAATAGAGGAGACAGTGAAGGGAGTTTGGAGAAATCTAGTGTTTTCCCTCCTCCTTTATCTTTTCTCTCCCCGTATTAGGATATGGATAAACTGGATGCCAGCAGTGATGAAGATCAGGATGGTAAATCCTCCAGTGAGGAGGAGGAAGAAAAGGCCCTTAGTGCAAAACACAAAGGCAAAACGCCCTTGAGAGGACCACTGCGGAGAAAACGAGCCTATGTGGAAATAGAATATGAGCAGGAGACAGAGTCCATGGCCAAGGCCAAAACCACGTGATTTCCCTTTCAACATTTATACCCAGGACTGAACATGCAGAACTGTTTTTTTTTTTTTTTTTTTGTAACACACACACACCCCTCCAGTTTTTGCTCTTGTGTGTTGTGTTGAACACAATATTTGTGTTTTTATTATTTATGCCACATCAGTGGGGCAAGAAATCTGGAGTGAGTGAAGAAAGCTAAGTTGTGAACAAGAGTATTTTTATAGCATATGTGTTGAAGTAACAGCTTGTGCCCGAGAAACTTAACAGATGAGTTCTTGGATCTGGGATGAGATGACGGATGTAAATATTTCTAAATTTTAAATGCTACATTCCTTGGTGTCCTTTTTTCTCCCAAACTTTATTTAGAAATGGAAGGAGTTCAATTTTTTCTTATTCTACTTTCCCTACTCCTATGGAGGTAAAAGGAAAGAAAGAAGGAAAAAGCAGCTCTCACTTCCAAAGTTTCGTGTAAAAGTATCTTTTTTTCTTAAATAACTCCATTCATACAAATTGGGATGGGAAAAAAATCCTTTCCTCTTGGGAAAGTAATGCAAGTCTTAAGTTCCATCGTAGGGAGCGCCTTCAGAAACCTGCTGCACTTTTCTGATACAGTTCACCACCTTTCTGTCTTCACAGCTTTGGGGAATTTTGGCCAGGAGACCCTGAAACATGAAACCAAACAGGCTTTGATTTTTTTTTTAATCACTTTTTTCCCCTTTTGCTTGATTCTTCTTCCTTGGTATCATATTCAAAGGAGGAAAGAATGGATGACACTTGGGGACAGGTCACTAAACAGCATAGGTATTGGTTAGTTTTTTATTATTATTTTAAAATTTATGTAGCTCTTATGTATTGAAGGTGTTACTTTAAAAACTGTATTAATGTGCTTGCAAATCTCCTGCTGGCTCATGAAACAGCAGAATTCCAGCCAAGGCAAATTTAAGTTGGATCTAGGGCTTGAAAACACCAAAGATTAAAGAGTGAAGATGAAATAGTTTGAATAAACTGGTAAAATAACAATTCATACCATCTCTACATATTTTTAGGATATGAATTTCTTCTTTTTTTTCCTGCTGGGTAGATTGTCCAGTGAGTTATGGCATGAATTTCTTTTCATGCTACCTTCAGTCTTTCAACTAAAGATTTCTAAAAGGGGTAAAAAATGAGGCAATAGTTTATTAGATACATGGAAGTACACAGCTATTATATGCTGTGGCTTTGACAAGTTAACTTGTGGAATATGAAACCAAAGGAAGAATTTCCACGTAGATAAATTAAGATGAGGGGCCGGGCGCAGTGGCTCACGCCTATAATCCCAGCACTTTGGGAGGCCGAGGCGGGCGGATCTCAAGGACAGGAGATTGAGACCACGGTGAAACCCCGTCTCTACTAAAAATACAAAAAATTAGCCGGGCGCGGTGGCGGGTACCTGTAGTCCCAGCTACTCAGGAGGCTGAGGCAGGAGAATGGCATGAACCCGGGAGGCAGAGCTTGCAGTGAGCCGAGATCGTGCCACTGCACTCCAGCCTGGGGGACAGAGCAAGACTCTGTCTCAAAAAAACAAACAAAAAAAAAGAATAGGGAAAAACATCTACCTAAAAGATGGCTGTCCCTAAAAAACTGGAAACATCTGAAATGCTCTATTTATGATATTATTCCTGGGAGCTTATAGCCCATTATTTTTACTTTTTTTTTTTTTTTTAATTCAGAAGACTAGAACAGAAGTTAAATTTTATAAACTTTTGATCACAATGCTTTTGTCCATTCTGTCTTGTCCTTGGCCCCAGTGACATGTGCTGATCCCCCTGCCTTTAGTTCTAAATGGTTCTGAATAGCTTTAAAAGATGAATAAGAAAACAGATCAAGCTCTTTTGAGGCTAGAGGGCTCATATGGAGACCTAAAACCCTTCATTTCCAGACTTGGTCAGGCACATACATAGTAAATTATAATCAATCATAGGAATTACATAAAGATAATGAGGCCCAACTGAAACCAAGTTTCAGTCTGCCTTACCTTTACCCGTCCTTGAGAGCAGCAGTCCAGGAGAATCAGGCAGTCTGTGGCCTCCTGTAGCAGGGCACTCTTAACAGACTCAGGTGTAAGGTTTGGATCCCTTGCTACATCACAAATCAGTTTCAGGAGAGCCTTCAGTAAGACCACAAGTCTGCAGGAAACTCTGGAATCAAAAAGAAAAGCTATGTTCTTACTCTAAATCTGGATATTAAAATTGGAAGAGACTTCAAAGACTGTCAAGTGGAAAGCCCTCATTTCATAAATTAAGGAACTTGGGTCAAAGTTAAATGAAAAAAACCTAAAAACAGAACCAAAGACAACCTCTAGATTTCTTACCCTCAAGTCTCCTGTTAGCATACTGTGCACACACAAACACACACACACACACACACCCTCTGCCACACTGCTCTCTCCCTTCCAGAAGCTTGGTTCTACTGTAAGCAACAGCTCCTTCATGGGCTGAGAAGGGGAAACCAGGATCTCCCCTAACCAAGGGCCTATACTTTTATTTTTCAACTCTATTAACTGAACTATGCTTGGAGAGAGTTCTCAATCCTTTAACTTTAATGCTATCTTAGGCCTGCAAGTTGAAGACAGAGTGGGGGAAATGAGCTTGGCTTCTGGGACTTAGTGTCAAGTTGAATTTTCTGTCATTTAATTTCAGATCCTAGCTCATCATCAGTGAAATCCAGCCTACTTACTTGTCACTATTAACCTTTCTAAACTATAAACCTTTCTACTATCGCCTTGGTAAAGTTCTGGAAATGGACGATGCTAGTGACTGCACAATATTGTAACTGTACTTAATGCTACTGAACTGTACACTTTAAAATGTAAAATGTGTATGTATTTTTACCACAATAAAAAAAACCCTAGAAAAAACCTTAATGAAAGGTGGAAAATAATTTAACTTACAATGTGAAAACACAATGTGAAATGTACAATAAATCATATTTATGGACAGATGCACAACTGGGAGAAAAAAGTGTTCATCTCTTTATCTAGATATGCCTCATTTTCCTACAGTTTGGGTGCCTCTCAGCCCTCCATCTGTTATTCAACTTATAATCGGCTCTATTTTCCATTTCCCATGCTCTACCCCCTCATACCCATATTCCTTTTCTACCTCCCTGCATTTAATTCACTCTCCCTTCTTGGAATCTTAGTCTCTGCTCTTTAAAGACCTGACAATCTGATTCAACTTTATTCATCCATTGATTCATTATCTTCCAGTTCATTCATTCTTCAAATATTTGTATACCTAATACCAGGTACTGAGCATACTTTGAGAGAATATAATAGATGTGGTTTTCCATTATCCTGGAGTTTATAATTCAGTAGGGACAAAGTAAACAAATGCAACCTAGTTACCAATATGACTAAGGGAAAGGTTGTCATGGGGGAATATTACTCTGGATTCCTTGCACATTTATAAGGAAGTGAGAGAATATGGTCCAGAATAGATACTATATGTTGTTGGGGCACTGGATTCTCTGGCTCAATTCAACTTTCAGCTATCCAAGAGATGCTTCTGCTGACTCAACAGTTTGGGTTCCAATTCTTGACACCTACCTCAACCCAGAGTAGGAATGATTTCCAAGCAAGTATATCCTACATTAGTATTCTTTTACTATTTTTTATATATATATATATATATATATTTTTTTTTTTTTTTTTTTTTGGAGACAGAGCATCGCTCCGTCACCCAGTCTGGAGTGCAGTGGCGCGATCTCAGCTCACTGCAACCTCCGCCTCCTGGGTCCAAGTGATTCTACTGCTTCAGTCTCCTGAGTAGCTGGGACTACAGTTGCGTGCCACCATGCCCAGCTAATTTTTATATTTTTAATAGAAAAGGCATTTCACCATGTTGGCAGGCTGGTCTTGAACTCCTGACCTCAGGTGAACCACCAGCCTTGGCCTCCCAAAGTGCTGGGATTACAGGTGTTAGCCACCACACCTGGCCTCTAGATTGGTATTCTGATCACTGCTCTGCAGATGTTAAATGATGTGCTATGAAGTACTCTGCTCTCAATTAGATTTAAAGAACATTAGGATTAACAAAGTTAAGCAAATGTCTTTATTGCAACACTTCTAAATGACCTTTAATCTTCTAATATGCATTTTAAATCTAGAGAGATATGCACCCTCTATGGTTTCCCAATCTATTTGACCACAGAATTTTTTTTTTTCCTGTGGGGCATCAAAGAGTACCTAGATGGGGATTCTGCAAAACACCAATCTAAACCATTCTTAAGATATATAGCCAGGCACAGTGGCCCACACCTGTAATCCCAGCACTTTTAGGAGGCCGAGGTGGGTGGATCACAAGGTCAGGAGTTCGAGACCAGCCTGGCCAACATGGTGAAACATCATCTCTACTAAAAAATTAACAAAAATAATTAGCCAGGCATGGTGACGGGCGCCTGTAATCCCAGCTACTCGGGAGGCTGAGGCAGGAGAATCACTTGAATCCAGGAGGCAAAGGTTGCAGTGAGCTGAGATTGTGCCACTGCACTCCAGCCTGGGTGACAGAGTGAGACTCCATCTCAAAAAAAAAAAAAAAAAAGGCTGGGCATGGTGGCTCACTCCTGTAATCCTAGCACTTTGGGAGGCCAAGGCGGGTGGATTACGAGGTCAGGAGTTCAAGACCAGCCTGGCCAACGTAGTGATACCCCATCTCTACTAAAAATACAAAAAATTAGCCGGGCCTGGTGGTGGGTGCCTGTAATCTCAGCTACTTGGGAGGCTGAGGCAGGAGAATCGCTTGAACCTGGGAGGCAGAGATTGCAGTGCATGGATATCAAGCCACTGGACTCCAACCTGGGCAACACTGCTGTCTCAAAAAAAAAAAAAAAAAAAAAAAGATATACTAGAGTTTCAAAAAGAAGTGATTTAATAGTGTCAGATTCTGGAACTGATACCTGGTAAAAGAGTCAAATATGAGCACCTCAAGTAACTATAGTATATTTTATCTTTCTAATGCCATTTTCTCAGTTTAAAATCCTATGTGTGTACGAAAATGGGAGGTATTCAAATACATAGTATACATTTAATACTTGGTACTGAATGTATTAAATACATCCAAGCAAGTTCTCAAGAGAAAATCAGCTGAGTTTTGCACCTTAAGGCTGCTATTACCTGGGCCAAGTATGTTGCATGAGAAGTTTTAGGGTTTCCAATATCTTCAGTCTAGCTTCCTCCTCAGGTCCATCATAAACCTCCAGATAACCAATGATGACTCTCTCCAGCCGCTTCAAGTGCCGAACAGTTAAGATCCCCAACCTAAAGATGAAAGAGAAAATATGATGCCAGTGCAGTGGCTCATGCCTATAATCCCAGCACTTTGGGAGGCTGAGGTGGGAGGACTGCTTTAGGCCAGGAGCTCGAGACCAGCTCAAGCAACATAGCAAGATCCTGTCTCTATGAAATAATAATAAAAACCCAAGGACTCACCTCTTCACAAAAGCCGGCAGGTTTCTTGCATAGGTCCTGCGTAAGAGAAGGCGGTGCTCTGGCTCCATGTGGGTCAGGATCAGCTGCAGGACCTCATCACAATGGGTGGTAGGTCGAGCTCCATCTCCTTTCCAGTGCAGCGTTTTCTCCAGGATGGGGAACAAATCCAGCAGACACAGGAGCACAGCCTAGGAGGAAGGAATGGAAGGACGCTGCATAGTTCATCTATTTGCATTTATAATACTCATGGACCTCTAGAACTCCATTAATCTACCGCCCTTAGGGTCCATACCAGAGAATTCTAAGATACTAGTAATCATATATGAAGTGCATATTACTTTACATTTTCAAACTTTTTTCCATTCTTAATCTCCATCTGACAGTCTCAAATCAATACATTCTCTTCAGGACCATTCTTTTTATAAATTTATAAAATTTATAATTTATAAAATGGGAAAAATGGCAGAGCTGGGACTTTAACCCAGATTTTAGGAATCTAAGTCTATTGTTACTATGTCACTAAGTCTAAGTAACTTAGTGATACATGATATTTACACAATTTTTTTTTTTTTTTTTTTTTTTTTTTTTTTTTTGAGACAGAGTCTCACTCTGTCACCCAGGCTGGAAGGCAGTGGTGCAATCTTGGCTCACTGCAACCTCTGCTTCTCAGGCTCAAGCGATTCTTGTGCCTCAGCCACCTAACTAGTTGGGACTACAGGTGTGCACCACCATGCCTGGCTAACTTTTCTATTTTTTAGTAGAGACACGGGTTCGCCATGTTGTCCAGGCCGGTCTCAAACTCCTGGCCTCAAGTGATCCACCTGCCTTGGCCTCCCAAAGTGTTTGGATTACAGGTGAGAGCCACTGCACTCGGCCAGTATTTACATATACTTTTAATAAAACTGCTCTTAAGCAGAATCTAAGATGTTCCAAATTTGGGTCAAATTTGACCACCCTACCTGCTGAAGTTGCAGTGTCTAGGCCAGGGGTATCCAGTCTTTTGGCTTCCCCAGGCCACACTGGAAGAAGAATTGTCTTAGGCCACACATAAAATACACTAACACTAATGATAGCTGGTGAGCTTTAAAAAAAGAAAAAATGCAAAAAAAATCTTACAACATTTTAAGAAAGTTTACAAATTTGTGTTGGGCTGCATGCAAAGCCAACTTGGGACGCATGCAGGCCGTGGGTTGGACAAGCTTGGTTTAGGTACTTCCTTTTAACTTTCCTGGGACCTTTGGTTTTTCTCTTGGTGTTTTGGTTTTTTTTAATTTCTTTTCTCTACCACCTTAAGAACCCCAGCAGTTCTGGCTGTTAACAATCTGGATTCTCAATACCCAGTATTTAAAATACTGTTTAAAAAGCAAAAGAGGCTGGGCGGTAGTGGCCCATGCCTGTAATCCTAGCATCTTGGGAGGCCAAGGTGGGCGGATCACTTGAGGTCAGGAGGTTTGAGACTAGCCTGGACAACACGGAGAAACCCCGTCTCAGGTAATACAAAAATTAGCTGGGCATGGTGGCACGTGCCTGTAATCCCAGCTGCTAGGGAGGCTGAGGCAGAAGGATCACTTGAACCTGGGAGGTGGAGGTTGCAATGCACCAAGATCGTGCCACTGCACTCTGGCCTGGGTGACACAGTGAGACTCTGCCTCAAAAAAAATAAATAAAATAAAAATAAAAGCAGCAGGGTCGGGAGGCAGAAAGGAGGGAAGTCAGGCGTCGTAAACAAAGAAACAAGGTTGCTTCCACCTCTAATTTTGTATAACTTGTTTCTTCTGTCTTTGGAGTTTCTTTCTCCCTCCTAAAAAACTTACTTATCCTTCTTCATAAAGGTAAATATCACCTCCTTCCCAAAGCCTCCTAAAGTCACCCCAAACCTGGTTAGTTACCTACTGCTCGATACCCACTGCACCTTTTTTTATTTTTGAGATGTAGTTTTGCTCTTGTTGCCCAGGCTGGAGTGCAATGGCACAGTCTTGGCTCACTGCAAACTCTGCCTCCTAGGTTCAAGCAATTCTCCCGCCTCAGCCTCCTGAGTAGCTGGGATTAGAGGCATGCGCCACCACACCTGGCTAATTTTGCTTTTTTTTTTAGACAGAGTCTCGCTCTGTTGCCAGGCTGGAGTGCAGTGGCGCGATCTTAGCTCAGTGCAACCTCTGCCTCCTGGGCTCAAGCGATTTTTCTGCCTCAGCCTCCCGAGTAGCTGGGCTACAGGCACGTGCCACCACGCCCAGCTAATTTTTTGTATTTTTAGTAGAGGCAAGGTTTCATCATATTAGCCAGCATGGTCTCGATCTCCTGACCTCGTGATCCGCCCGCCTCAGCCTCCCAAAGTGCTGGGATTACAGGCGTGAGCCACCGCGCCAGGCTTTTTTTTTTTTTTTTTTTGAGATGGAGTCTCGCTCTGTCACCCAGGCTGGAGTGCAGTGACGTGACCTCAGCTCACTGCAACCTCTGCCACCCAGGTTCAAACAATTCTTGTGCCTCAGCCTCCCAAGTAGTAGGGACAAGTGCACGACATCATGCCCCCAACTGATTTTTTTGTATTTTTGGTAGAGACGGGATTTTGGCATGTTGGCCAGGCTGGTCTCGAACTCCTGACCTCAGGTGATCCGCCTCCCTCAGTCTCCCAAAGTGCTGGGATTACAGGCATGAGCCACCACGCCCGGCCCAAACTAATATACAATTGACTCAGATGAAGAAAAACCACTGGCTTATCTGTGGAGACTCAGGAATGTGGAGGCCTGCTTGGTGCTGAGATATTTTAACTTGGTAACAGCTTTTAGTTATCATCCTCACTTTCCAAGGCAGGAAAATGTCTCTCAATTATTACTACTCACACAATGCAACCTTCTACTCAAATTCAGAGAATCCAGATACAGTTATGAAGAAATCATACTATTACCTGAATGAGGTGGTGCTCTGGCGTGTACAGGTGGTTGAAAACAGCATGGTACAGGACCTGGGCTCTGTTATACTGGAGTAAATCAGCAGCTGGCTGAAACCAGACAAATGATCAAATTAAAAGAATAGTTTCCCAAGATGGGCAAATGTTGACCATCTTTGAAATTGGATTATGGGTATGAAGCATGAAGAACATGCCATCCCAAAATATGGCACATTGGTATCATGATGGTTTTGAGTTGAAAATATTGGAGAAACTGTAGATTCAGAAAGGGTGAGCTGACTTGTCTCTTTCTGCAAGTAGCAAGTGATAAAAGATTCCTCTGGGTGGCGTATGCTTTCCATACGAGGGTAAGAAAACAGCCCTTACAGAGACTTGGAATTGAAGACTGCAATGGACCTACATAAACCGAACAAAGTAACCTTTATCTTCCACCTATCCATCCCCTGACCAACCCCAACCATATATCTCCTAGTGACTACCCTAGAGCCAAGCATGGTGACTCACACCTGTAATCCCAGCGCTTTGGAAGGCCAAGGCGAGAGGCTCACTTAAGGCCAAGTTTGAGACCAGCCTGGGCAACAGAGCAAGACTCTGTATCTACCAAAAAAAAATTTAAAAATTAGTTGGCCTGGTGGTGCATGCCTGTAGTCCCAGCTACTTGGGAGGCTGAGGTGGGAGGACTGCTTGAGCCCAGGGGGTTGAGGCTGCAATGAGCTATGATTGTGCCACTGCACTGTAGCCTGGGTAACAGCAAGACTCTGTCAAAAAAAAAAAAAAGAAAAGAAAAAAAAAGAAGGAAGGGAAGGAAGTGAAGAAGGAGGGAAGGGAAGGAAGGGGAGGGAGGAGGAAGGGGAGGGAGGGAGGGAGGGGAAAGAAAGAAAGAAAAGAAAGAAAAGAAAGAAAGAGAGGGAGGGAGGGAGGGAAGGAAGGAGGGAGGGAGGGAGGGAGGAGTGGAAGGAAGGAAGGAAGGAAGGAAGGAAGGAAGGAAGGAAGGAAGGAAGGAAGGAAGGAAGGAAGGAAAGAAGGAAGGAAGGAAGGAAGGAAAATTTACTGCTCCTAGCCAGATTTTCTTTGTCCTGTCATTTTTTTCTGACAGGACAAAGAAAATCTGGCTAGGGGTAGTTTAAAAAAAAGATGAAAACTTTATCATTCTTTGTCTAAAAAGTATAAAAGCATATTGCTTTGGCCACTTCTTCAGACTTCTCTCTCTTGTGAAGATCCCCATGTACACGTAAAACTAACAAAACGTGTATGGTTTCCTCTTGTTAATCTGCCTGTTGTCAAATTTGGTTTTCGATCCAGGAAAAGAGCCCACTAAGAGATAAAAAGGGGGCTGAGGCTGGGCATGGTGGCTCACGCCTGTAATCAATCCCAGCATTTTAGGAGGCTGAGGTTGGTGGATCACTTGAGGCCAGGAGTTCAAGACCAGCCTGGCCAACATGGCAAGACCCTACCTCTACAAGAAAAAAAAAAAATTTAGCTGTGCATGGTGGCGTGTGCCTATAATCCCAGCTACTCCAGAGGCTGACGTGCAAGAATCATTTGAACCCAGGAGGCGGAGGTTGCAGTGAGCTGAGACCACACCACTGCACTCCAGCCTGGGCGACAGAGCAAGACTCTGCCTCAAACTTAAAAAAAAAGGCAGGGGGGCAGGGTTGGAGGTGATCTCTGGCTCTCTCCTACAGGTACATGGAGATTAATTACACCACTCTCTCCACTTCCATGTATATTTTAAAAGCTCCATACTACAAAGTTTTTTTTAAAAAATTTTCCTTGAGTAATAGCTTCCACATTTGGGTATAGTCCCTTTCAGATTCTGATTTTGTTTTGTTTTCCTACTTGAAAGTCAACTGTAGGCTGGGCGTGATGGCTCATCTCTGTAATCTCAGCACTTTGGGAGGCCAAGACAGGCAGATCACCTGAGGTCAGGAGTTCCGGACCCACGTGGCCAATATGGTAAAACCCTGTCTCCACTAAAAATACACAAATTAGCTGGGTTTGGTGGCCACTACTAGGGAGCCCCAGCTACTAGGGAGGAGTCCCAGCTACTAGGGAGGCTGAGGCAAGAGAATCACTTGAACCCGGGAGGCGGACGCTGCAGTTAGCCAAGATCGCACTCCAGCCTGGGTGACAGAGCAATAATGTCTCAAAAAAAAAAAAAAAAAAAAAGGAAAGAAAGGAAATAGGCCGGTGCAGTGGCTCATGCCTGTAATCCCAGCACTTTTGGAGGCTGAGGCGGGTGGATCATGAGGTCAGGAGGTGAAGACCAGCCTGGCCAAGATGGTGAAACCCCATCTCTACTAAAAATACAAAAATTAGTTGGGCATGGTGGCATGCGCCTGTAATCCCAGCTACTCAGGAGGCTGAGGTGGAGAATTCCTTAAACCTAAAAGATGGAGGTTGCAGTGAGCCGAGATCGCACCACTGCACTCAAGCCTGGGTGATAGAGTGCGACTCCGTCTCAAAAAAAAAAAAAAAAAAGTCAACTGCTCACCAGTTCTCAAGATCTGGTTATTCGGTTTGATAATGACCCATCCTTCCTGTTTCTTCTATAATTATCATTTTAGCTATTACATTACCTATAGACAACTTCTACCAGGTTGATAGAGGAAAAACATAAGGAAAAAATACAAATAGGTAAAGCTGAATGACTTAGCATTACTAGAAATGAAGAACAGCCAGGAATGAATGACTCAGTCTGTCCCATCAACATGGATGACAAGGTAGAGGTTGCTTACCACATTAAGCACAATGTGATGGAGACAGTGTACACCCAGGATTTTGTTCTCAGTCTGATAATCATCTGAAATGAGCAATGATGCAGGAAGTACCCTTTCCAGATGCTGGCTCAGCCAGGGCCGAGTGACCTGTTGCAGAGTCCATGAGAAAACATGTTTGATGGCAGGGTTATTCTTCCAGGATTCCCTAAATGGATACATAAAATTACATTAAGTGACATGGTGATAAGTAGCAAAAAAATAAACTACTTCAAGCTAAACAGAGTATTTTCATGTCTTTGCAAAAAAAAAAAAAAATACATCGCACATAAGATAACTTTTGATTCTACATCATACATTTTAAGATTTGGATTAAGATAACTTCCACAACTTACACCAAATACTTAATCACCCAGGTCTTTGGGTCTAAAGCCTATCCAATGAGAAGGAGCCAATTATAACCAGCGCTACATAAAGGACTTATAGTGATGGATGGTGAAGGTATGTTGAGAAGGGAGGGAGGAGTAAAGGAAATGTGTTAGTATTATTACACTAAGGAAACAAATTAATCAATACTTGAACACTTGTTAATAGCTAATAAAGTGAGTGTACACACGATTTAACTAATCCTCAAAATAATTACAGTGTAATAGGTATATTATATTTATTTATTCTGAAATAGAGTCTCGCTCTATTGCCTACACTGGAGTGCAGTGGTACCATCTAGGTTCACTGCCACCTCCACCTCCCAGGCTCAAGTGATTCTCCTGCCTCAGCCTCCCAAGTAGGTGGGATTACACACTTGCACCATTATACCCAAATAATTTTTATATTTGTAGTAGAGACGGGGTTTCACTATGTTGCCCAGGCTGGTCCTGAATTCCTGGCCTCAAGTGATCTGCCAGCCTTGGCCTCCCAAAGTATTGGGATTACAGGTGTCAGCCACCACACCTGGCCAAGTATATTATCTTTATATTAGAAACAAATGGATTCAGAAAACTGTCTAATCTAGTCCTACTCAGAGCAACAAATAGAAGCACAAAACTCAAAATCAAGCCTTTTAACTCCATGTTCCCGGTAAAATGACAGTTACAGATACTTCTCTCATCACTCCAGTGCTAACAAAGTAGCAATTGGAAACTCATTGAAAGAACTTTAGCTAATAGCAATCTAAAGGTGCTTTTCACCTTTTTTTTTTTTTTTTTTTTTTGAGACAGAGTCTCGCTCTGCCACCCAGGCTGGAGTGCAGTGGTGCCATCTGGGTTCACTGCAAAGCCCCGCCTCCCGGAGATCCGCCATTCTGCTTCAGCCTCCCGAAGTAGCTGGGATTACGAAGCCTGCCACCATGCCCGGCTAATTTTTTGTATTTTTAGTAGAGACGGGGTTTCACCGTGTTAGCCAGGATAGTCTCGATCTCCTGAGCTCGCGATCGCCCGCCTCAGCCTCCCAAAGTGCTGGGATTACAGGCGTGAGCCACTGGCACCCGGCCGCTTTTCCTCTTTATCTAAACATAGCTTCCTTATTGATGATCATCCTTATCTAACAACTGGTAACCATTATTCAAGATCCCAAGTCTAAATTCAAACCGTGGTTAAATCCTCTCCAAATCCCCCAACCAAATTCCAGTAATTTGCAATTTTTTTTTTTTTTGAAAAGTGCTGGGATTACAGGCGTGAGCCACCGCACCCGGCCGCTTTTCACTCTTTATCCTAAACATGGCTTCCTTAGCTGATAGTCATCCTTATCTAACAACTGGTAATGACATTCAAGATCCCCAAGTCTAAATTCAAACCGTAAGTTTAAATCCTCTCCAAATCCCCCAACCAAATTCCAGTAATTTGCAATTTTTTTTTTTTTTTGAGATGTAGTCTTGCTCTCTTGCCCAGATTGGAGTGCAGTGGCCCGATCTCAGCTCACTGCAATCTCTGCCTCCCTGGTTCAAATGATTCTCCTGCCTCAGCCTCCCGAGTAGTTTGGATTACAGGCGTCCACCACCATGCCCAGCTGATTTTTGTATTTTTAGTAGAGATGGGTTTCACCATGTTGGCCAGGCTGGTCTTGAACTCCTGACCTGAAGTGATCCACTCGCCTCAGCTTCCCAAAGTGCTGGGATTACAGGATTGAGCCACCTCGTCCGGCCACATTTTGTAATTATTAACCCCAAGTAAGTGGCACAGAATTTCTGATTTTCCTAGGCAGTCGTCCTAAGGGCTGGAAAGAGCACTGGACAACTGAGCCTGAACACCTCAGTTATGACCTCCAATTTGCCACTATCCGGTTATGTCATTTATATCAAATCGCAACGTTTCTGGGCCTTAAGAGTTCTGTGTTTACAGCACCCTTATTTTACTGATGAAGAAACTCAGCTTCCTTTGAGGTGTAAAGCTCTAAAAAATTAAGGTAGGGCAGGTGCAGTGGCTCACGCCTGTAATCCCAGCATTTTGGGAGCCAGAGGCGCGTGGATCACTTGAGGTCAAGAGTTCGAGACCAGCCTGCCCGACATGGTGAAACCCCGTCTCTACTAAAAATACAAAAAATTAGCCGGGCGTGGTGGCGGGCACCTGTAATCCCAGCTAATCCGGAGGCTGAGACAGAAGAATCGCTTGAACCCAGGAGGCGGAGGTTACAGTGAGCCGAGATCGCAACATTGCACTCCACCCTGGGCAACAAGAGTGAAACTCTGTCTCAAAAATAAATAAATAATAAAAAATAAAAATAAAAAACTGTGAGGCTCAAATCGGTGGCAAAGGGCAGGAGTACTCACTTATTCAAGTCGGGTTTGAGAAGCCCTAATATCACCGAAAGACTCCCTTTCTCATCTTCATTTTCTCCACGTAAGAACCCTGCCACAGAACTGCATTCAGTAACTTGAAGCAGTAAGGTGAGCACCTCCCTAGCAACCTCCCGAGATCTCGGAGTGGTCCACGGTTGCTCCAAGCTGTGTGTGATGGCAAAAATATAAACCGGTCCTGCCAACTGATGCAGGCCCGTCTGCCATGCAGGGCCGACCAGGGAATTCTTAGCAGTCTCAACTTTCCCCAACAGCTTAAGAAACAGTAACCCAACTTTGGCTGCTTTCTCGGCCACTTCAGAGCGCCCATCACCTCCACCTTCCTCCTCTTTGCGGGGGGCTGCATACTTCTCCACGGCTTTTGCCACCTGCCCCAGTGTTTCCGGCATTCCGCGGAGCCATGCACCACTCCCCTCAAATAACCTATCACATTCGGTGGCTTCTATTAGATCACCGAGGTCTTTAAGAGCTACATCTTTTACGTTGCCTCGTCGTGCCTCCGGGCAGGTAAGACTGTGTAAAATCTTGGAGAAGGCCTGTCCAAGGGCGGAGGGAGACAACTCCCCGGACAAAGAAGACTCTTCCCGCGACGGGGCTTCCAGGGCGCTGTCAAGCTCCATTCCTGACTGCAACACCAGAAGGCTGGTCTCTCCCACAGGACGAGGATGGAGGCGGGGAGGGATCCGCTGAAGAAGGAAGGAGCGATCACTCAACGAGAACTAAAGTCAAATAAAATAAAACGGAGAGATGTCTTGGAGGAGGGGCGAGTCTGACCGGGATAAGAATAAAGAGAAAGGAAGAGACCCAAGAAAGGAAAAGGGGACTCTCGGGGAGTAAAAGAGTCTTATACTTGTAACAGTGACGTCAAAAAAACTAGTGTTGCTTTCTGAAGACTAAAAAGAAAAAAAAAACCCTAAAAGTTTAAAGAAATAAACTTCTGAGCCATGTCACCAACGCAACCACCGCCAGGTACTTGCAACCGCTCGCGCCGGTCGGTGTATAGCAGGATCCGGGCCTACCTCATATTGCTGCCGCAAAGCACAAGGCTAGCTTCCGCCAGTACTGCAGTACTGCCGCAACACCTTCTTATTTCACGACGTATGGTCGTAAAGCAATAAAGCTCCATGCTCAAGAACAAGACCGAGCGGTGGAACCATGGAGAATAAATTTGCATATATAATACTCCGCTCGCTAATTGTGTTTCTGCTTTCCTTTGCTAAGGTAGAAACAAAAGAATAATCACAGAATCTCCGTGTAGCTTTGAAAACATCCAGGATTTTATATATGAAGACTCGATATGTCGCATTACGGTAGTCACCCTATCTGTAAAATTAGTAACACATACTTGGAGCTCCTTAATGGCCATTATAAAGTGATCCTTTTGTAGTTCATGAGCGTGATGATTGGGTGTTCACACGTTTGTGTGAGACGTGCCACCCTCTGAACCTTGTTACGATGTCGGCACGTTTCCCGTCTGACCTGAACTTCGAGGATCAATGTAACGCTGTTTATGATCTTGTTAGAGTAATAGGTGACTCGGTTTAATGGTCTTGTAGTTGTTTTGGTGGGTACTGTTATTCTCTGTCTGTAAGATACATGCACGGGTGCTCTTCCGTTGTCCAACACCGTTATTTTCTGTATGTAAGATACATGCACGGGTGCTCTTCCGTTGTCCAACTGTGAGGTGTGTATTTGTTTCATTTTGAGTCGAAATCTCGCTCTGTCGCCTGGCTGGAATGCAGTGGCGCGATCTCGGCTCACTGTAACTTCCGCCTCCCGGGTTCAAGAGATTCTCCTACCACAGCCTCCCGAGTAGCTGGGACTATAGGCGCGCGCCACCATGCCCAGCTAATTTTTGTATTTTTAGTAGAGACGGGGGATTTCCCCCCGTTGGCCAGGATGGTCTCGATCTCTCGACCCGTGATCCGCCCGCCTCGGCCTCCCAAAGTGCTGGGATTACGGGCGTGAGCCACCGCGCCTGTCCTGTGCAGTGTGTTTTAATGGCTTACAATTTTTTAGGTTTGGGTGATACCTGCGCAGGTTTGTTACCTGGATATATTGTGTGATGCTGGGATTTGGAGTGCAGCTTGGCCCATTTTTAGTGCCCCCTCTAGTAGACCTCAGTGTTGTTGCCACTTTTATGTCCACGTGTTCCCAGTGTTTAGCTCCCACTTACGAGTGAGAACATGCGGTATTTGGTTTTCTGTTCAATGCAATACTTTAGCTGGTTTCTGGAGCTAGCGTTCTAAAGCCTATATGCCCAAGCGTTTGAAAATTCAAATTCTAGCGTCAAGGTAGAAGGCCCTCGCTGGCATTTGGGGCAGCCCCGAGGGAGGCTGGTCGTCACGTTGGAAGATCCAGCTTGGGCCCGCCCCGCCGATGTCGGCGCCGGGTGCGCGGGGACAGCAGAGCGCAGTCTTGGACATGGGCCGCAGGCGGCGCCGGGAACTGGCCAGGGGAGCCGGAGGCTGCGGGCTCTGGCCCCGGTGGGTGTGGGAACCAGCCGTATTTGGTTGGGTTTTGAGAAGGCGCGAGAAGGGTCGCTCCTGTGCTACTGCCCTGTGTTAAGTCCCCCACGCCGCGTCGGCATATCTTCTTCCCTCTTCCTGCGCCTTCCTGGAGGGTGGAATTGTGCCCGATTGGCCTTCAGTTCCCGAGGGGCTGGTCACATTTAGGAACTTGTGACTCTCATAGCTTCCACGGTTTCGCAGGAGCCCGAGGAGGCAAACTTCATTTGTGCCACTGCACAGGCGGGAGTTTCGGACCCTGGGAGGGGTGGCGAGCGCGAGAGAGATGTGTGTCGGCTACTGCTCGGAGAGGGACTCCTTTAAGGCGTCAGCCGCGCATCCAGGGGCCCAGGATCCAGAGAAAGCCTTTCGGGGTTTTCTGACCTGGGGTAGGCTGAGGGGCGAGTGTGCGCGCAGGGGCGAGGCAGGGGTGATGTGTCGGGTGTCCTTTGTTCTCGCCAGGAGGTGGTCATGGGGCAGAGGGACATACAGTACTTTCCTCCCACCTTGGGGAGGGCACCAGCTTCTTGGTGCACTACTTGCAATTGTCCCATCTGCGGTGTCTTGCTGTCTGCTCGCCTGCCCTTCTTTCCATTTTGCTGTGTGGCCTAGGGCAAAAGTTTGGTAAACTCTCTGTGCCTTAATTTCTTTTTATTTTTTATTTAATTAAAAAAATTTTTTAAGAGACAGGGTCTTGCTCTGTCGCCCAGGCAGGAGTGCAGTAGCATCATCATATTTCACTGCAGCCTCAAACTCCTGGGTTCAAGCGATCCTCCCGCCTCAGCCTCGCGAGTAACTGGGATTACAGGCACCCACCACCATGCCCAGCTAATTTTCTATTTTTAATAGACACGGAGTTTCACCATGTCGGCCAGGCTGGTCTCGAACCCCTGACCTCAAGTTATCCACCGCGTTAGCTTCCCTAAGTGCTGCAATTACAGGCATGAGCCACCTCGCCCAGCCACCTTAATTCTTTATCGGAAAAATACAGGTAGTAATAATTCGTACCACTTAGGAGTGTTGTGAGAAAGGGGTTATATGTAAACTGCTTAGAACAATATCTGGTCAGCAGAAAGTTCTACACAGGTGTTGGCTCATGTTGAACCACAGCTCCTGTGTTGTTACATTTCCTCTTTCCAGGGTAATTTTGTGGTTAGGACTCTCCCTCTCAGCCTTTTTCATTCAGCTTTCCCTTCTCTGACCAATTGGTGGCACTCATGATTTTCTAAGCAATTTCAACCATGGGTAACCATTTCCTCCCGAGGGGACTCTCCTGTTTGTAGGCCCAAGTGGAAGCAAGATGCCAATCAATAGACAGTTATTGTATCCCTCCTGTGTGCAAGCGTCTCTTCCCTGATCCATGTGCCCCTTGTGCTAAGTGGACCCAAGCTATTACTTCTTATAAAGAAAGCACTTGTATTGTGGAGATCTCCCCATCTGCACTTCCGAGTTTCCTGAAGCCAGAGACCACGTCTTTATTCCCAGTGCCTGGCACAATTTGGTCATGGAATAAGTGTTGAACTCACACGTCCATCCACAGAGGGCTGGCTGAATAAGCTACGTACATCCATACAATGCAGTTTTATGCCGCTGTACAGAGGAAAGAGAACCATGTCTGTGGACTGCTTTGGAAATCTAGGATGTATTGTTAAGTGAAAAAAGCAGGACAGAGGCCATGTATATGTTGCCTTTATTTTTATTTTTCCCCCTTTTCACACGTGTTGAAATGTTGCCTTTTTTGTAAGAAAGATGGGGAAATAGAAATAATGATGTGTGCATTTGCTTACATGTTAAAGAAGCAATAAAGTATAAATTATAAACTAAGAAAAATGGTGACATGTAAGAAAATAACAGGGTGAAGGAAATAGGAATGGAAGCTAGATTTCTCTGTACACACTGTGTTTAATAGCTTCAACTTTGGATTCATGTAAATGTTTTACTTTTTTTTTTTTGAGAGAGAGAACCTCACTCTGTCGCCTAGGCTGGAGTGCAATGGTGCGATCTCGGCTCACTGCAGCCTCTGCCACCCGGGGTTTCAAGTGATTCTCATGCCTCAGCCTCCCAAGTAGCTGGGATTACAGGCGCCCACCACCACACCTGGCTAATTTTTGTATTTTTAGTAGAGGTGGGGTTTTACCATGTTGGCCAGGCTGATCTGCAGCTCATGACCTCACGTGATCCGCCCACCTTGGCCTCCCAGAGTGCTGGAATTACAGGTGTTGAGCCACCGTGCCCAGCCACATTTTTTTTTTTTTTTTTTTTTTAAGCAACAAAAGCAGAGATTTATTGAAAATGAAAGTACACTCCACAGGGCAGGAGTGGGCCAAAGTAAGTGGCTCAAGAGCCTACATAACTATGTTTTAAAAGAAAATAATGAAGCATTTGCTAAAAGAAAAGAAACAGTCAAAGTGTACATGGAGTCACTGGCATAACCACATAGAAATTACAGACTGTAAAACTTGTTAATTTGACTCTATATCCTTAGTGTGACAAAGCCTAAAAACAGAAAAAAATTAACTGCATTTAATAATGGTATTGTAATAATACTAATATTATTGTTTAGGTTGTTTCTTTTGGTTTGTTTTTTGAGACGGAGTCTCCCTCTTTTGCCCAAGCTGGAGTGCAGTGGCATGATCTCAGCTCACTGCAACCTCTGCCTCCTGGGCTCAAGCGATTCTCCTGCCTCAGCCTCCCAAGTAGCTGGGATTACAGGTGTGTGCCACCATGCCCGGCTAATTTTGTATTTTTTAGTAGAGATGAGGTTTCACCATGTTAACTAGGCTAGTCTCGAACTCCTGACCTGAAGCGATCCACCGGCCTCGGCCTCTCAAAGTGGTGGGATTACCGGCATGACCCACTAGGTCTGGCCTGTTTAGGTGTTATTACATGTATTTTGTATAACTTGTATATGTGTATAAAATAACAAGTAACTCAATATTGTTAGAAACCCAGATTTTCAGTTAAAGATAAAAGAGATACTAGTATCAAATCAATGAAGTTAGCTATAAATTCTGTAATCTGATTGAGTGACGTATTTGAGTAAAAAAATCTGTAATCTGAAATTAGAATTGGCAATGTTGGTATGAATTTATAAGTAATTTTCCTCATTCTACAAAATATATACATAAACATATATACATATATACACGTGTGTGTGTGTATATATATATCTCCTGGTTGTGTTCACTGAAAGGCCAAGAAGAATGACAGTCTAATGGCTGTGAGCACCCTGGGTATCCAAATTCAGAGTTTAAATGCCATTTCCCACTGAAAGGAACCAGTGAGGCTTTAGGAAATGGTTGATTTTGATTTCAGAACTAGGGCAGGAATTGCACAAGGTGGGCCTGTGGCGTTTTGTTATGCCTGAAAGCAAGGTAGCTATCAAATGCTGCTGAGGTGGCCGGGCGCGGTGGCTCACGCCTGTAATCCCAGCACTTTGGAAGGCTGAGGCGGGCAGATCACGAGGTCAGGAGATCAAGACCATCCTGGCTAACATGGTGAAACCCCGCCTCTACTAAAAAATACAAAAAATTAGCTGGGCGAGGTGGCGGGTGCCTGTAGTCTCAGCTACTTGGGAGGCTGAAGCAGGAGAATGGCATGAACCTGGGGAGTGGTGCTTGCAGTGAGCTGAGATTGCACCACTGCACTCCAGCCTGGGCAAGAGCGAGACTCAGTCTCAAAAAAAAAAAAAAAAAATTGCTGCTGAGGTGATGTGAAAAAAAAACAAACAACACACCCAAGGCCCTATAGCTCAGGGATTACAGCACTGGTCTTGTAAAGGAGTCATGACTGTAATGAATTAAAACAAATATATACAAATCCATGAGTTCATAGTGATACTAAAAAAAATCACTAATCATTCACCTTTGGATCACTTAAGAAAACAAATGTTTATTTTGAAAATTGATATATAAGAGGAAAAAAAATCAAGCATTTATGCTTCTGTTTCAGGGTACCCAAATCATTTGTAAGG